TTTTTCTTTCACTCATGACTGCTGTTCTGTGCCAGCTATAGTGGTTCTCAACACTCAGTTGAAGGGGACAAATAAGCAGGCTGGTAGCAGGGCCTGAGTGAGGGAAGATATCAGCGTCTTAAGGGCCTAACTGTTTCCTACTACTTCAGTTCACTGCCTGTTCTCCTCAAGTGGGTTCAGGGAAGCAGCAGGAAACAGGAAGCTCCCTGAGAAGCTGGTGTTAATCAGTCCACGCTCCTGGGGGTGTTAAGAGGTATATAAGAGGCTCCTCCTCTTCTCTCTCCCTGCAGCTCCTGCTGCTTTCTGTTATTCCCTCTCACCTTTTCTCCTGCCTGTTATGTTTCTTGTGCCCGCCTTCCTCCAGCACAGCACTCCACCATCTCTGTGCATCTAGAGCAGAGAGAATATATGCACCAGCAGCAGACAATTTTCTACACTGTGGCACCTGAGGTGGCTGCCTCAGTTCACCTCATGGTAAGGCCAGCCCTGCTAGAGGGAAGAAATCAAGATTAGTGCTTTTCTAGTACCACTGTGTGTCATGCCATTGTTAAGGATAATGCTCCAATTACAGAGTTTTTGAAAGTATGTAAAGGCCTCATGGCCTCTCTTACCCCTCTGAAGTGCTTGCTAACACTTCCAACTGCTCTTAGCCAAAGAAGACAGAGTGAAGGGGAGGGGTAATTTATAATTACCTACCAAATTGGTTTTAGCTATTGCCTTAAATTTTACTGAAATTTGTGGATTACCATACGAGGAAAAATCCACACTTTTTTCAGACCAACTTTCTCCTGTCCCTGTCTGCAACATACATTGTGCAATTTGCATAGGACTATTTAGCACATGAATGCTGTTTGCCCTTCTTATGCTGACTTACATTCAAACAGTTGTAGGAACTGGGCCATCTTGTATCACAGCATTTTCAAGCTCAATTTAATAAAGAAGTTTAACAAGTCATGTTATGCCTCACCTTTGCCAACCTTGCTTCCATTTTAAAATCATGTTAGATCAACACATCAAAACTTCAGTGACCTAATTTATGTCTTTCCTTTCAATTTTACAGCCCCTCACTGTAAGTGGTAAACAGGAAGTCAGAGAAGATTGTATTGAGAACATCGTGGCATTATTTGGAGCGTTCCTTCAAAATGATGGAGTAAATTAATACAATGTTTAATTTGCAGTCAGGTCTTCACCTGCCTCTCCCATTTAAACCTTGGAATGCTAGCCTGACAAGTACTTTAAAGGGCAATCAGAACACAGAATGGTGTGTCCTGGAGTTTCTAGAGGATAAGTAGGAATTTAAGAGATTCACTCTGTAATCTTAGCCATATGCATGTGTCTTCCATAAGGTTGGGAAGGAGGAGAGGGAATTGTGTCCAATTTGATTATTTAAAGTCATTGCTTGAATCTTGTCAGAATGCTCCAGGACACTGTTCTGGCACTTTTTTGGGGAGCCAGAACAGCATCTCAGTGTTTCTGGTACTTGCGTTCTGCCACTTCGAGTGCAGCACTCACCTGTTTAAAGTTGAGATTTGTTCCCCTCTGTAGATTATAGTTTAATGGATCCCGTATTTATGGGTGCAGTATGTTTGTACTTACAGGATTAGAATATGAAAATATCTTTGAGATAACAGATGAAAAAGCATCTTAGGGTTTTTTTCTAATTGAATATTTTAATATTAGGCCGGGAGGAGAGCAGAGGGGGTCAAAACTTGCTATGATTTACTGGGCCACCTTCATCCCTGTGTAATCCTGAATCACTGACTCTTTGGCATTCTCCAATTTCTAACTGTCCCTGCTAAAAGAGAGTGAAGCAAAGGAATTTCTATGCACTGTTGCCAAATCTCACAATATTATTGAAATCTCACTTTATTTGGAGTTTTATGTAAAGCCCCAATCTCTGGAGGCCTCCGATTCAGAATGTTAGCTTTATTTTTAAAAATAGCCCTTACATTTCTGAAGAAAAGCTTGAAAATGTGACCCAAATGTCCCCTAAAGGGTAAAAAACAAAAAGCAAATAAAACTCCCCAATATATTATTGTTCCCAACATCACAAGAGAGATTCAGAAGTCATGAGACTTTTGGTCTTACTCATTACATTTTGAAAACGTGGGGTTAGCAATATGACTATTACATCTCATATGCATAAAACTGCATTTGAAATTAGACACTCATTGTAAACATATCAGACCAACATCAAATCTCTGCATTGTAAATGTACTTGGCCACACTCTTCTCTGATGCCAGCGAAAACAAGGCACTTGTATTACAGAGGCAATTCAATGGCAGGCAGAGGGGCCCCATGCTGGCAGCAAGTATACTTGAAGGCAGTTGCAGCTGCAACCTGTATTCCATAAAGGTGAGGGTCTGAAGCTAGCAGTGCCCTCCCAAAGTGGAAGGTTCTGACCCAGGAGAGGATGAACCAAAGTACTAAAAGCTGATTCAACTCATTCTTCTGGGCAGCCAGCAGGACATCCTCAAAGTCCAGGCTGCATTTCAAGTGGAAAATGTAAACAGCATCCAGAATGCAGCAGCCCTCATTGGAGGAGCTGGAGAATCAATCCATGAACTAATCATACTTCCAGGAACCCTTTTGGGCAGTGCTGGCCTTAGCCTTTGCAAGGCTGTGTGTGAAATAACATGAACAGAGATGTGCAATTAGTGTTTGCCTATTACCCACCCATTACCCTACTATTATTAACATTGCTATTTAACCTGAGTGTCTCACACATTTAGGATGTAGCTATGAATAAATATTGAAAATATTTTCAATATTTATTAATTACCTTTAGTAAACCTATCCAGGGCTATACATTTCAGGAAAGGATGCAACTTGATTTTAAATAACTAATTAAAAGAACAGTTTTCTAATACAGAACTTTTTAAATAGTGTATCATGAATTTTAAAAATGCTTTAAAACAGTTTTATTATGCTCCCTTATTATATTGAGCAGGGTCCTTTGTGAAATCTTGAGACTATAATAGCCAACATGCTCAGGCTCATGCCTCCTTCTGTGAAGTTATGTGTACTGTTTCTTTATGAAAATTAAGCCAGGCAGGAGAGGTTTTATAGTGCTGCAGAGACAGAGGAGCTTTAAGGATAATACTGTTTTATGTTTAATACAGTTACTGTTCAGTGTTAGAGGGTGACCCCTTCTGTAGTTCAAAGGTCAGACTAGGTGATCATAATGGTCCCTTTTGGCCTTAAAATCTATTGATCTGTGAATCACAACACCTCTCCTTCAGTTTCTTTCTGTGCACACTCTGCCTGCCACCTCTTTGCTTTCAGTGTCAGCTTTGCTCCTGCTCTTATGGGGGGGGGAAAAAACCTCTTGCAGGGGCTAGAAAAGGATTTGTCTCATCAACAAAACAGTAAAATTAACTATACACAAAAAAGAGGAAAGATATGTAAATTAATGTTTCAATTATAGTAATTTTAGGAATTTGAGACAAGGTGAGTGAGGTAATATCTTTTATTGAAACAACTTCTGTTGGTGAGACAAACTTTGGTGACCTGAAGAGCTCTGTGTAGCTCAAAAGCTTGTCTCTCTCGCCAAACAGAAGTTAGTCCAACAAAAGATATTACTTCATCCACCTTGTCTCTCTAATATCATGGGACCAACACAGTTACAACTACATTGCATAAAAATTTTAATGTAATTTTCAAAGTGATGGTTTCTCTTTAATTTCTTCCACTTTACCTATTTTCCTCAAAAACATATGATAAAGCAGATGCAATACTGTAAAAATGTGAAACCGTTTGCATGATTGAAAAGTATACAAGGATTAAAACAAAATAATTTCAGAATGTTCAAAATAAGCAGTTAAGTACAGTAGCAAATGAACGGTCTTTGCTGAAGTTTATTTAACAAATCAGTATCTTAGTAATGTCATCAATACATTGCTTCCCATTATATGGTGATTTTCACACTGAAATATAACATTTCAAAATATTGCATGTTTTGAGGCAAAAACAGGTCTTCATCAAGATGAAATGTAAGTATTTTTTTAGATACTTCCTCAAAAATAATTGTGTGGGATAACATTCTCTTTCACTCAAAATGCTGCTATTCAACAAAAAAGTGACATTTCACAGGTTTGACTGGCAAAACAATTATGACTGGCTCACTCCTTTCAATACGAACTATTCACATTGTCAGGGTTCTAGTAGCAGGTCTTTTGTTTTTACATTTAACAACTACTACTGGACACAGTTCTAGATGTGTGTAAAAAGTAAGAATAAAGGCCCAGGTCCTGAAATGCTTATAAGCACATGCTTAACATAATTAACAGGATTACTTGAGTTTAGAATGCAGTTAGCATTAGAAAGTTCAGTGCCAAAACACACACAAGGTGTGTGTAAATACCATCATTTGTAGATAGCAGCCCCATCTCCCACATGACTCCTTGGCAATATCCATCATGCCTCTCTGAAACCCCTATCTTGGAGAAGTCTCTCCACCACTTTTTTAAGTGGCCAGAATTGAGGAGTTCATTTTATACTGCATGCAACTGTGAAATTAGTATTCATGTTGTTTTTCTGGCATGTGCATACCTAATCAGATTTGGGGCCAAAGAATACTCCTAAAGATGTTCACAAACAGTATAATTACCTTAACTTAAATTTAATAGGCGCTACCCAAAAATACAATCTCAAATCAAAAATAATTATACTTATAGGAAATATTTAGCTTTAGGTATCCTATTAAATTATCCCTATAGACAAAATTAAGCAAAATAAGATGTACAGCTCAATAGCTTTTACGTGGCCTGAGCTAAAACCCATTAAAGTCAATGGGAGACTTTCCGCTGATGCCAGTGGACTTTGGATCAGGCCCATAACATATGAGCCCTTTCAACAGCCCTTAGGTACCCAGCTCCCCACTGAACTGAATAAAAGTTAAGTGTATGCGCAAGGACTGCAATATTGAACTCTCACTGCCTAAAACTACCATAAACATCTGCCTGTTTGCACTATTCATTAGGTACACAATATCTCTTACCTTCTCAAGTTCATCAGAAATAGCAATGCCTGAAAACAAAGCAGATTTTAAAAAGCAATTTGAGAAACATTCTTTGTGGAAATGTATTTTGTTATAGTAAATAAAACAAATGTTTAATCTGGAAACTTGCATAATTCTCTTCTTGCAAATACATTCTGCTATTATATTTTGTTCCATTAGTGAAATTGACCAAATGCAATGTACTGTAATTTTCTTCAGGGGCAATATAATCAAACTGAGCTTTCAAACAATTATGAAACTCTGGAAATTTGCAGCTGTGGTAATAGACTGTGAAAAGCTAAAATTTGCTTTTATTTGTTTTCTAAAATTAAAAAAGCAATTTAATACTTCTAGTCTGAGCACATTATGATGCAGCCAACAAACTATATATATATATTAAATCCACACACTATATATATTGTATCTGCCTGCCATCAAAATGCAACATAGGCCTGACTCTGCTCTACTTTGCACTTGCAGGAATAACTCCATGAAAGTCAATGGAATTAAACCTGTAAGAAGAGAATTAGGTCCAGTGTCTCCCAGGGAACATCACGCTACTAGATAGGACAGCTGTTCCAAATCCTGAGCAAGCACAACATGGCACCTGATATTCTGCTGACTTACACTTTTGGCTGATAGCAACATATACAGTTGCCTGCTTGAGGATTCGCTTTGTCCCATTTACATCAAATCATTCCACCCTACGTTATGGTGTAGGCTGCAGTGTAGTAGACGTGCATAGCTGCCAGCACAGCCCCATGTACTATGACAGGATGCTGCTCATCCTGCCTCACTATGTCATATGCAACACCATCCTGCACCCTTTTCTCCTGGCATTCCACTGAAGCCATAGAGCGATTTTGCTCTAAAACTTAACCAAAAATTTTTTGGGATGGATCTCTTGATGATTATGTTCTGTTCATTCCCTCTAGGGCACACCTGGCACTGGCCACTGTCGGAAGACAGGATACTGGGCTTGATGGACCTTTGGTCTGACCCAGTAGGGCCATTCTTATGTTCTTATGACGGTCATTGAAGACTTATAAAGCGATCTGGTACTCCAGTGTACGAGAGCTCATTTTATAAGCTACGCATTATACATCTAGGAGCAAATTTGAGAGCTAAAATAGTTCTTTATCTTTGTAAATTTACCCTAGGGTTAGCTCAGCCTAAAAACTTATTCCCAGTAATACAGCAAACAGTTAACAGCATGTTATTCTTATACCGTAGCTGTATTATCAATAAAGTAAAAAAATCAATTTTCAATCATACCTACATGTTGCTATTTTTCATTTTTAGATGGCTTCCTTTTACTGATTTGTTTTTAAAACATAGTGAAATACAAACAGAACTGTAATTAACATTTTAGGACCTGACCAATACATGAAAAATAAACAGACGTTAATGGAACATTTTCTCAGTCATTCAGTGTTTGCAAATTAAATTCAACAAAATACACTTTGTCTACCACCACAGCAATTAATCTGTTTTCAATACCTTACGGCTTTTATTTAGTACATAACTACACTACTGTCTATATAGTATGTGGAGCAGGAAGTTGTCCCAATCTGAGTAATATATGCCATGAAATCCATTGTTCCTCCCTTCACCCTCACCCCCGTGTTGAGTGGGTGTATGCAAGTGAAAGCAGCTGCACAGAAGAGTGAAAATTAAATTTAGCTGTCTCTTCGCCCTGCACAGCCCTGTAAACCTAAGTAAGGATTTCCAAAACCCAGCTCTCCATAGCATTTGATTTTTTTTCTGTAAAACTAAAGCTAATCCAGCTCACAACCATAGATGTTATGATCTACCCATTCAGACACTCTACATCTTCTCAGCAACTTTCAATGATTTTGTTTTAAACCAGTTTTTTTGCCCTGTGAGCAGTCCCCTATTCTCCTGCTTCACATGTCCAGTCACTACTGTTGCATCTGTGGCACCTGAAAGCAATGCAGATGGACTTCTTTTCATGGGCAAAAGCAGTCACAAAAGAAGCAGAATCATTACAGAGCCCAGGATGACTCTATGCCTAGGAGGCAGTACTGGTTCAAGCCTATTTGGGGCCCTAAACAGGAATACTGTTGCACCCCCACAACGCATACTAAATTACTAATAGGGGCCCCCCTGGTGCTGTCTGGGGCCCTAAGCAATTGCTTAATCTGCTTATGCCTAGCACAGGCTCTGCGAGGAGGGTAAAGTAAACAAGAAGTAGAAGGGCTTCCTACCTGCCTGAGGAGGGGTTATGTTGCAAGGCCCTAGGGAAGAGCTCAGTCTTAAGCAGGAACAGAAGAGACCAAGGCAGGAGGATAAGGAAGGAGGAGCCACATGGTAGTCAACATAACTTGGCTCCTGTCCAATGTCCTAGAATCCTGAACATAACTATATACACCAACCTTAGGATTCAAAGGGTTAATGGCAAGAGCATTTCTCCATCCAGATTTACTTCTTAAGGAATTTTCCTTGAGTTTAAATAAGGGAACTGGAAATGACAAATGTGAAAATGACAAAAATGGTGACATACCCTGATGTTTCCATTATGCCAAAAGGAAATCATTCTATACTACAAATGGTCAGGCTTTCTGTCTGCAGGATTCCTTCCCACAAGACACCTACTGATTTACTATAAATATACTTATAGGCCCTAATCAGGGATGAAGGTCCCACTGTACCAAGCCCTGAACATTAAGCAGGAAAAGTTACAAATGTACCACAGCTGATGACATCATAAGAAATGAAAACAGAACAAGAAAAGCAGGATTTTAGGGATTCATATATTTGTGATCACAGGGCCAAATCCTGAAATCCTGTCTCATACCAATATCACTTCCTCCTATAGCAATACAGGAAAACAAGAGAGGGTTCTGGGGGAGGGAATTTCAATGCGAACTTCACAGAGATCCTCCCACATAGCTTTTTTTCATGCATCTCCAAAAGAGACAATGTAGACAACCCTCAGAGCAGGCAGATCCCCCAGGATCAACAGGATTCCAGGGCCATCTGAACTGATGCTGGGTCCTAGTAACTTCTTTTAACTCCCTAGTAGCAGAGCTTGATCGAAGTGTTGCTAGCAAAGACATCCAGTGGCTATGGTTGCTCCGTGGTCAGGGTGAATCATAACCACTACACAATGGTATCTGAGTTACCACAGTTACTTCCTTAACTGTTGGCAAATATTGACTTTTTGTTGTTAAAGCAGGTTATTTTCCAAAGTAATTTATTTTAAAATGACAGTCAATTTAAAAACCACACTTCTGTTAATAATCATAACAATAGTGAGTAAATGTTAAGTCATAAAATTCTGAAAACTGATAAAAATTAGAGCAAAAAAAACACACCACTCCATTTTATTTACCTTGTGCATTTGACACCATTTCCCTTGTACAGCCTATCAAATTTCATTGTTTGTGTGATTTTTTTTATACTGCACAGGGGAGAGGAAAAAAAACTTTAAAAAAAATATGACTGTAAAATGAAAGATTGTCAGGGAGACAAAGGGATAAACCTGGTATATGAAACTATTTTAAATTCATTTATTGTAACTGGTTACATTTCAAGTTGATGGTGTCAGTTTAAAACAGTATTATTTGTGCATATGAAATCTAAACACAGTGGCAATGTCCGATAGTCCTGGTCACGAAACCAGATGGCTCAGTGCGTTTTTGCATTGATTTCAGGAAAGTAAACAAAATTTCCCATTTCGATGCCTATCCAATGCCACGAGTGGATGAACTCTTGGAATAACGCGGGTGGGAGGCGCAAATTCCTGTCGTCTTTGGATCTGACTAAGGGATATTGGCAAATCCCCCTGACACCGAACTGTCGCCCTAAAATGGCCATTCCGACAATTTATAAAAATGCCACTCGGACTGCACAAGGCCACAGCCACCTCCCTGCAGCTCATGGACCAACTGTTACAACCCTGAGCACTATGCCATGCCTACATCGACGGTATCATGTACAGCGCCCTGTTGGGAGGACCATCTCCAACACCTATCCAGGGTTCTCTTAAGAATGCTGGACTCACGGCAAACCCCACAAAATGCCACCTCAGGCAGTGTGAGGTGATGTACTTAGGATACACCAAGGGAGTCGGGGGGGGAGGGACAACTACAGCCCCTGGTTGACAAGATAGAGGCCCTGTGAGATTGGTCCACCACTACAACAAAGATGCAGGTGCAGCAATTCTTTGGTCTAGCCAGATATTACCAGTGTTTTGTCCCAGACTTTGTGATCCTGCCAGACCTAACTAGAAACTCACACCCCAGAGGGTGCAATGGTCCACTGAGAGAGAGAGAGCGCACCTTTCAGACATTGAAAGAATGACTCACAAGAGGACCAGTCTTGATACACCTGGACTTCCAGAAACCTTTCATTTTACAGACAGACACTTCAGAAGTGGGCCTTGGGGCAGTATTGTCAGAAGAAGTTGCCAGGGAACACTCAGTGCTGTACCTAAGTCACAAGCTGTTCCCCAGAGAAACCTGCAATTCAACTATTGAAAAGGAGGCCTTGGCTGTTAAGTGGGCCATAGACGCCCTGCAATATTATCTGTTAGGAAATACATTCAGAGTGATCACAGACCATGCATCCCTGCAATGGTTAAATAGCATGAAGCACACCAACACATGCGAATCATGTGGTGGTATCTTGCCCTTCAGCCATACAACTTTCAGGTATTATGCTGCCCCAGGAAGGCGCATGCCAACACCGATTTTTTTTTTCCCCGAGGATAGGCTGAAACGGGGGAGAGGAAGAACCCACACGGGGTGCCCTCTTAACTGGGAGGATGTGTGACAGTGTGAACTCACCCTGCACTGGACAGGAAAGGGTTAACTCCTCCTTGTGGGCTAAGGAAGCCCTGCCCCCATGCCCAGTAGGGACATGCCCCAAATGCAGTACCAGAATAAAAGTGAGCAACTCAGCTCAGTCGGAGTTTACTACCGAAGACAAAGGACGTCCATTGCAGGTTCCAGCCTTGGAGCCACTGCAGCTCCCGACTGCAGAAGCCAGAAGTGCCAAGACCCCAGCAGATGCCCCGATACCTAGGGTTACCATATTCAAACATTTAAAAAAAGAGGACACTCCACGGGGCCC